CAGGGACTGGAGGTGCATTTATCCCATTAGGCCCAAGTCCTGTTACCTGTTATGTGTTAGGAGTGCTCCTAGCTGAAATAACCCCAGGAACATAACAGGAGGGTTTGCATAAGGCAGATGCCTGCCTGCCATTCTCTCATTTTGCTGGCAGCAGAGCTGAAGGTCTTGCACAACACTCTGTTTCCACGAGGGTTGGGTTTTGTTTTCCAACAGTGGGAAGCACACCCTGTGTCAGCCCATTAGTTGTGGCTTTAAACAACTGGAGGCTCTCTCAGCACTTCCAGCATGGCTCTGCTTAGGAGCGTATTTTCATTCTGGGTTTGATTTCATGTGGAGACTACTGTTCTTGAAGGATCGGTATGCATTTATGGCAAAGAAAATAGAGCATCAATATTATGTCAATATTATATCAATAATTTGGCCCCAAGCAGTCTCATTCGGATGAAACAGTGGTGGTATAAGCTAGAATCAGCACTTAGCTGTCTGACTTTCATTTTTCATCACAGCTCTTTGCCTGGGATTCCTCTTCAACTAAAATCTAAGTATTTTTTCCACTAATAAGATCACTTCCCTSCATGGTAAGCACAAGTCATGAAAGTCCTCAATAACCACCATATTCTGACTGAGATTCTACCTTTTTTTGTCTCTTACAAAAATGGAATATACTCGATCAGATTAACACTCATGAGTTCCTTCTTAACATATGTGAAATCCTTCACCAAGAAAGGGATCTTCACGTCCTTTGGTGTTGATGAAAGTTAGATCAAACTCTCACTGAAAACCTTTAGCAGATCTCAGACCTTTCAAGAACTGAACATTAATCCCAGTATTGCCCCAAATCCAGAAGGAGAATAGTCATTTTCTGAAGAAGGACTATACTGGAAGGGTCTAAGGCTGAGTCCAGATGTAAGTAGTCTCAGCTGACTCCCAGACTGGCTGCTCAAAGCCACCCCCCAAGACACTGCACCATCTACATCTCTTCCCGAAGCATGTCCCACACTTTGCGGCCAACCACAGGCACTGGGGGTCTCCACAAGGTCCTGCACAGCCCCTGGCAGACCCCAAAAGAAAGATGTCACTCTTTCCAAGAAGTGATTTGAACATACAGTCACATTAAAGTTAGATACCTATGTCATCTGGAAGGTTTTCTGTCAATTTGCAGATCTTTTGAAGTAGTTTTTTGTCCCCCTCTCCACTTTTCCACAGTGACTGAAAGGCAGAGCACCCCTACTTGAGACCTCTTGACCAACTGTGGGAGAAACAAGTGAGATGGCATTTCTTAATATCCCAAGCTCGCCCTCACTTCCTTGTCCAGCCCTTCTACCCACCGTGGCCTCCTGGAGCTCTCACTACAGATGTGTGAGCAGGGTCTGCAAAACAACTTCCTTGCACCTGAGGTCTGTACACATTTACGCACTGAAGCCCTGTGAAGTGTGTTTTTCAGAGCCACCTTGCCTACCTCTTTCTCTTTTCGTTATTTGTTTACAAATTTGCTTTTATTTATCTTCCTACCGATGCCTGAATGCTTCCAGACATGCCTCRTTTCAAAAAACTCTCAAAGACCATAGACAATGTCACTTACTGACCTAGATTTTGCATTTTTCAAAAAAGGCGTTACAGAGAATGGCAAGCACGAGCGTTGGGCAGAGCTGAAAAGGCTGTATTTGCACATTAGTGTGTGTATGTTTGGCTGTCTATCATTGTACGAGTTTGCCAGAATATATAAAGAAACCTCGTTCTGAACAGGATTTGATTTAAACATGGTCTGAAGTGCTTTGTTAACAGAGGAGGTACCACGGCTCAGTCTTCRCTGACCCTGCGCCGAAGTGCTCTGTGGATAAATTACAGATTAACATAATGTCTCCTGCGAGCTCGGGGCGTTTTTCACTTCACTTCACTTCTCTTCCATCCTACCRCTTCTCAAGCAGTCTTGTAAAAGTCTGGTACCTTTATTGGCACTTTTAGCCMTCATCGTTGTCACAGAGGACATGAATTGTCAAGGGGAAGCATTCCTCAGAAGCCTTCAGACTCAAAATTCATCTGATTACCTTAAGACGCATATTCCTATCTGGAATCCCTCTAATGCAAACACTTCCTGCTAACCAAAGGTGGGGTCGTGCCTGGTCTGTAACAACTCTACCATGTCCAAAGGGCCTCCCAGCTCTCCAGAACTGCKTTTGGATGACACTGCTCTCACCGGTGGCAGTATGCTCTGCTCTGGCTGCAGCTCTGCAGATCAGGGGTAAGGGTTTGATCCAGCCATGAGCCAGAGAAGACTTGWAGGCAGGACAGCTGCCCTTGAAAAGTAGGGGAACAGATTCTATCTCTGCAAGGAAGACCTCTGGCACGCCTAATGACCTAACCTAATGTGTACTGGTAGCAATGGCAGGGTCTGTGTGGGCTAGATCCATCTCTAGGGAGAAAAGAAAGGGGAAGGGAAAGTGGAAAAAGGAAGGGGAAGGGAAAGAGATAGGAAGGAAGGAGGGAAGGAGGGAAGGAAGGAGGGAAGGAGGGAAGGAAGGAGGGAAGGAAGGAGGGAAGGAAGGAGGGAAGGAAGGAGGGAAGGAAGGAAGGAAGGAAGGAAGTTTTATGATGACCTGCTTTTCTCTGTGACCCCAGCGTTGTTTGCACGCTTTAGAGTAGTTCCAGAGAGGACAAAGATCTGTGAGCCATCAGGCTGTGCTTTTCTTGGAAAGCAACAGCTCTAAAATGAGAACCAGACAAGAAAAATAAAGACGGGGTAAAAACATGCAAGCAGGGAGATCTTGATAGACCAGCCCAGTTACTTCTTGTTTCTCTTGTGTGCATGATTCTCATTTATATTTTTTTGTGTCTTACCTTAACTCCACTCTTCTGTAATATCTGAAGACTTCAAAGAGTTACAGTAGCATCTATTCATGGACTTTTAATATACATTATTTGTTTTACGTTGATGCAAAAGGCCAGCGTAATTTCATAAATAAAGAGATACTTAGAACATTTCATTATAAGCTTTTGTTTTTCAACTCCATTTTAGGAGAAGAGTTGAATTACTAAATGTTAAGCAATGTGCTTAACTAACTTATCACTATCAGTCATTCAAACAATTAAAATCAAAAAGGAGTAGACAGTGATACCATAAGTACAATGCTCTTCACATAGTCAGCAATTCTTTCTCTAGTTAACTGACTATCAGTGCAGATTTCATTACATTTAATTACATAATGCCCAATCCCAAATCTCAGCTTTCTATTTTCCAGCGCTTTCTTCTCAGGGATACCCTAAACACATCTAATTAGTAAACGAGTACTTATAATACTGCCGGATCTAAAATGTCCCTCAGAAGTGACAGAATCTGAAGTCRAATCAAAAGTGGATCTTCCAGTGTGCAGATTTACCTCTTGGACATAGTTTAGCTCTTAGGAGAGGAGTTCGTATCTCTCCCACTTGCCTGCGTCAATTTGGATATTTTGCCAACCCAGAAGATGGTAGAATGTGTTTTTTTCCTGCCTGTGGGCATATTTCCCATGAAAACATGGGGAATCTTGTCATGAGATACTCATGCCTCTGCAACTTGATGAGTTTCCTGCACACGTTTTATACTTGGAGTGTTTTGGAGCTGCAGCCAGATTTTGCTGAACTTGGTATGTTGAGATGTTTTACAGCGGAAGAATCTGTGTCAGTAAACATAGGGTTTAAAAAAAAAAAAGGGGCAAAAAAAAAAGAAGCAAGATGTGATTCTTTAGGAGACGAATTAGCAGGAATTTCTGCTCAGACCCCCCAGTCCTGTCCTTACTTTCCCACCTTCCCCTCCAAGTGCCGTGGGAAAAGATGGAAGCGGCTGGGCCTGAGYGACAAGCCATGACTGTGGCAGCAGCAGCACGAGGCGCCAGCAGCGACGTCTCCTTTGAGAGGGTGGCGAAGCTCTCTGCTCCTTTGCAGACATGGACATGGCACTCTTGGAAGAAACTCACGCTCCATACCCACTTAGCAAGCRCGCTTTTCAGGCACATCCTTGGAAGATCTCGGCACAAGCACGAGGAGGCGGTTTGAAATGACTGCATATGTCTGCCTGATATATTTACACTCCGGGGACCACCCACGTCATAGAATGTGCTTAAATTGTTCCCAAGCTTTCTTCTGGAGTCAGGGTGAAATTACAGATTCTCTTACACCAGAATGAAAAAAAAAAAAAAAAAAAAAAAAGCTTTTTGATTTTTGAATGATTATTATTTTGGAGGCATTTTTTTAAAAGTAGTTTTTAAGAGTTTTAAGAGCTTCCAAGCCATGGCGGGGAAATCTTTGCACCTCTTCAATGCTTTTCACCGCTGGTTGCTTAACCCTAGCAAAAATTGCCTAGTAAAAATTGCCTAGAGGTAAAAACAATCTTTTTCTGTAAGCCAATTTAGGCAAACTGAAGAAAGAATATGGAAAGGGAGGAGGAAATGCCCATTAGAAAAGATTTTTATTTTATTCATTTTCTGTGCTTATATGACAACAAACTCCTTGTGGATAGTCCTGCATCTTGAGACAATATGTTTTAGTTTTAATTGTTTTGGTCCATGTCAATTTTACATCGAACATGCAATGAAGTAAAAAAGGCCCATGGGAAATACCAGTGAATCTTATTTTGATCCTCAGTAATGCCTGTGTAAATATCTACTTCTGTTTTGTAAGTTCAAAACYAAATGGAGCAAAACTTTTCCTCTTATGGACAGTACTGGCTTGTCAACATTAAAAATATGAAAACTATTTGCCATTGAGTTTAATAACAATAATCATCTGAAAATCAATTACTACTGTAATAAACATTTCCCCTTAAGCACTCATAGTAGAAAATGAATTAAGAAGTTAGTTAATAGCAACTGCCTAAGGAAAAAAAAAGATAAGGACAATGTCACTTGTGCAGTTACTGGATAAATTTTATTTTCTTTTTATTTAAATTATTCTTAATAATAACTCAAAAAAAAAACCTACAGCATTTTGGCAAATTATAATTTCTTCAACTGCTTGCTTTCCAGAATGCTAGAAGATGACCTCAAGTTAAGTAGTGATGAAGAAGAGAATGACCAGGTAAGACCCAGACAAATGATACATAACTTGCAGAACATTTCATGTTGAGACTGAGTTACTGCAAATATTTTGCTAATGCTTTTTTTTTTTTCAAAATATACATAAAGGTTATCAAAATACATGAAAGTACAGTAAATGGAGTAGCAGATGTTCCTGCTTTGTGCCAGACTACATGTGCTAACTGCTATATTTGTGGAGAATGTTTTGCAGTGGTCTTGATTTATGACCTTGATGCAACCCAGAAGGTTTTTGTATCAGTCTCCTTCTGATTTGATTTTATTTTGTTTTAAAGAACAGCCAAGGAAGGGAGAAACAGGAATTCGGTATTAAGGATTCGGGCCAAAAACCTTCAAACACAAGTGTCTAAAGCGGGGCCCCAGGGATGAGCCCCTGGGTCATTTAACGTACTGAAAGTCTCCTTAGCCTCCCCCGGCCGTCATCTCTCCCACGGGCATTTCACATCCCTGCCCTGTGGCCTGCACATACTGAGAAAGCTAAAGGCATTTGACAAAATCTTCCATTGTGCCTTTGTTCTGATCTGTAATCCAACAACTGGGGCACTTGTCTGAGTTTAGAGGGATTTAGAGACCTGGGAAAACGAGGTGCTTGCTAGACAAGGACCTCGGCTTTCCCATGGCCAACCAAGTGTCTGGCTGCCCAGCAGTGCTCTCGCGCTGTCCCTCTCACTCTCACATTATATGGGCACAGATGTAGAGGGTCCTGAGCAGGCAGCAGCCCCTTCCCTTCCTCCTTGCATGAAAATGCATGTCCTGTGTGTTCTCCAGAGCACGTGGATGGGTGGAAAAACCTGACACTGGTCGCACAGCTGTCCCTCACCTTTGCAGACCACATGTGGATCCAGTGCTGGATGTAACGTGGTTTTCAAATGTGACTATTTCAATCAAAGGCAATTGTGGCTGTATACTCTTCCAAAATTCAGGATCTGAGACAGATAATTCCATGTAGTAGTTCCTGGAACTGTTACAGTTGTTTCCTTTTAATTCTCTTTACTGCAAGTTTACATTTAACATTATATTTCACACAGTAGGTAAGTCAAAATCTTTTAATATTCATAGTAAACTACTATTTCATCTGTTTGGTGGTGTTAAGAAGATTCTGCATATGGATTCAATTATTTACATATTTATACAATTTCTGTTTAATGCATTTCATCCTGAAGCACTTCACATTTAATTACTCTTCCTGCTTGTCTAGATGGTTTAAAATACTGCCCATAGACAACCTAGGGCAAAGTAAAAGGATGGATGGAAGGGACACCTGAGTAATAGCAATAGGGTGCAAAAGTGCTGAGGTGTCTGGCATGTGGGACTGAGCATTAGAGGAAGAAGATTATTGGTATTTTTAGACAGGGATGGAATAGTGGGAAAGTTCAGCCACTTGGGCATGCKTGCATGGTACCTTAGCTTTAATGCCATGTCTTACAACTATTAATATCTTTCCTGTGCTTGGATCTCTAGTAATATGTACACTATGCAAGGGCTTCATTCAGTAATTAGAGCTGTACGGTACACCATATTTAGCCAGGATATTTTACCTCTGTGCTCCAACAAGCTCTCCAGGGGCCAAAATAGATTTTGCCACTAGAGTAGCAACTAGAGCACAGCTGGGCTCAAATTTCCCAATTCTAGTCATTGCAAATGGCAGGGGGAACAATCTTTAAAAATAATTCGACTGGATCTCCTGTCTGTAAAATGGGACTAATCACATTTTTTTCTCCTGATTTGATTGTATAGATAAAAATTTCCTTGAGGCATAGGCGGCTCTATACTGTTTAAAATGCTTTGCAGGATCTCTGCTGCAGCCTGCAGGTTTGTTTAACAAACATAAAACTGTAAGATAAAGAAAATAGTAAGTTTTCTCTACCTGGCAGGAAATAGACCCAAAAAAAGAATAACACTGACCCATTCTTCCAGCTGGGATTGCCACAATGGCTTGTGTTTAAATGTGAATGGAGGAACCCACTTTCCCTTTACTTCTTAATTATAATCTCAGCTCTAAGTTGGGGAAGAGGAAAGAAAGAAATTAAAGCTGAGGGTATGAGAACAGAAAGTGAGTAATTCCCAGATATTCTTTACATAATTATTTAACCTCTGAGTACTCATACTCATTTAAGGAGTCCAGTTGTTTAAACAGCCAAAGATGAACAGCGCAAGATTTAGCAAGCTTATCTTTTTTCCTGCTTCCTAAAGCAGAAGGTTTTGAGAGAAGTCTTTGAAAGCTTAGAAGACAACTTTGTATTTGCCTTCAAAATCGGCGAGAAGCAAACGGAAAGTTTCTGAGGTCGTGCAAAGAGGGACAGGTGCCACTGTGTTCCTAAGGGCAGTATTTGGAGGGCCGTGGCTGACATAGGGAATGTGAGCTATGGATGACGGAGGGCAAGTGCAGGACGGACACGTGGTTGGGAGCTGCAGGACTGCAGTGGGCAAACGGTTCTCAAACCCTCCCTCTTGCCAGCAATTAAGGTAGGGGGATTCACAGGCCCATAAGAGGCAAAAAGAGACTGGGATTGGGCAGAGTGTGTGTGTGCCCACAGTAATTGCATTATCCACACATATTAGTCTCTTAATTTTAATTGCATAAATGTATTTTTCCTCTTTAATGAGCATAGTTTATCCATTTAAACTGATCATTTTAATTTTACAGGCAGTGATCATAGGATCTAATGTGCAGAGGGGAAATTTCCTGTTGGCATATTTTACATCACACAGATTGAAGAAAATATACTTTTTAATCCCCAATCAATATCTGAAGAGCATGCAATTAAGAAACACCAAGGTAGTTAACATAAATCTGCAAGTTAAAGAGCCAATTCATTTTGATTTATAACACAGAGTAATAATTTTGTCATCATCTCTCCCAGAAAGCAACTGAAGCTTTGTAGCATGAAGATGTCAAAATTGGGCTGAAGATGGTTCGGAGTACTGAATTGCAGTGGTTATTGCCTTTTGGTTCCTTGGAGTGTGGCATAGCACATGAAAGAGGCCCCATTATAACAGCCTGCTCTTCACTGTAGAGGTCACTGGATAACTTAAATCAGTCTTGGGTGAAATATTAAAAGGACATTGTCAATTGAAATACGAACAATTCTCTTTTTCCCTCTACTTGTCCTTTTACAATATGAAAATTCTATAATAGAAAGTAGTTCATTTAAGGGGGAAAAGATCCCTCGACTCATTTGTGCAATTCCTGTCAATCAATAGCCACATAAATTAACTGGCTGGTACACATACATGGAATAATAATCTAACATATTTTTGCAACCTAAGTCTGCTTCCTTGCATGCATTTTTTCTGTGCAGGATCAGGTTGGTTGCTGCTGAAGTTTTGTGGCTGTGAAAATTTATTACTCACCGAGTCAATCTGCATTCTGGCTGCCAAGTCTGAATAAATAGAGTCATTGTGCTTGTCTGGAATATGTAACCAAAGTTCATCCAGTCAGCTTGACTTTCACATCCCAGGAGATTCATAAAAGCCAACACCCTGGTATGTGCTCTTGATTCCTGCCCAAATTTTGCGAAATTGTATAAACAGAAGTTGAAGAAGCAATCAGGACACACTAGGGCTCCGAGCTCAAGCCCCTGCTGTATCTCTAAAGGAAAGACTGAGCTTTAGTACTCTTTTTTAAAAAATAAAATAAATAAATAAATAAGCAATCAGATGACTATTGCACTGCCACAGCAGGTAAATGCACAGGCTAAAAACTGTCCCCCTAAGGAGCAATAGGGCTAGGGGCGCCTTGTGGGGTGTCCCAAGCATCAGTGCAGAGGGTTTGGCCAACAGCGAGCCAAAGCAAGCAGAGGCTCCGTCCCCATCCTGGAGACCCCGGAGGAAGAGCAGGCTCTGGAAAGTTCATTTTTTAAATGATAGCCAGAAACAAGTAGGAAATAGATATTTAAGGATAAGCTTTCTAAAAACCTTGCAGGACTTATGCCTTTCTTTTCTGAATATGGGCTGCCAATCAGTGCAGAAGTAAAAATTATCCTGAAATGAACAGTCGTGTACAGACCTTCTTCCAGAAGGAATAATTTTAGCAGGATCTATATATGCACTAGTTCTGCATATGAAATGCAATATTCCGGCCAATTTGAAGCAATCTCTAATGAATTTTAAAACATACTGAAAAGAGGGCAAAGTAACAACAAGCCTTTTTTTTTCCAGCAGACCTCAGCTATTAGGATGGTGCTTTCCCAAACCAAAGCTCAGCCACTCACAGGGCACCTCCAGGCACATCTAGAGAGAACGGTTATATTAGGTTAATTACAACACACCGTTGCATAGCCTTGTCTGTCATTAGAACTATTTTTAGCCAGCACTAATTGCTTTCACATATGCCACGTACAAACATTTTAACCACATCGAGTCATTTCAGTGTTGTGCTCCCTTTTATTCACCTCTTCATCAGTGCAATCCTTGATTCTTGATCAGGAGTGAAAATACACAAAGGAAAAAGGAGATGAGAATACTCAGTCCTGGCGAAAAAAAAAAAAAAAAAGTAAAACAGGGAGTCTGCATCATCCTTTCAAACGAATTTACCTCTATCTCTCTCAAAAAAAAAAAAAGAAAGAAAAAGTCCTGATGAACTTGAAAAAATCATTCTGATGAGAAGTTACTCACTCCACTGAGCACAGGAAATTTATTTCACAAAGTAAGGGCGTGTGCAAGTTTGATTGTGACTGAAACTGCGCAAAGCAGAGATAAGTAAAAATGGAAAAAAAAATAGGTTTTGGGTTAAGGAATGGCTAGAATCTCAGGTGTTTTCATATTTAATCTGAATGGTTTGCTCAGTGCACTGTCACTATAATGTGAGTTTATTTTTAGACTGGAAGAATAGCCGTTGTAACAGCCTTCCTTAACTCAGATAAGTCCATTATTTCCTGCGCATTAAAGCAGCAGCCCTTCTGGTATACAATCTAGCTAAAATCCTGAGCAAGATGTAAGTGAGCCAAGCTTTTCGTGTTTTGCCAGCTCTGATTTTAAAAT